ATGTGTGTGTATATATATATATATAGTGTATATATATATATGTATATATGTATATATATGTATATGTATATATATGTATATGTATATATATGTATATGTATATATATATGTATATATATCAGTATATATATATAGTGTAGTGTATTTATATATATTTATATATTGTATATATATATATATATATATATATATATATATATAGTATATATATATATATATATATATGTATATATATATATATGTATATATATGTATATATATATATATATGTATATGTGTGTGTGTGTATATTAACCCATCTGTCTCAGGTTTAATGTTAACCTTTAACCTTGTGTGTTGGTCATATGAATTATTATTATTGCCTTTCTGTCAGATCAAAGCTCTCTGGCATCAACCAGGCAGAGAGCTTCTACTCATTGGATGTTTTTAATTTTTGGGCTATTCTCTGTAAACAGTTTCCCATACAGTGGTTGTATGGGGAAAATCCCAGTAGGTCAGCAGTCTCTGAAATACTGAGACCAGACTGCCCAGCAGCAGTTACCAAACCTCAGTCAAAGTCACTCAGATCAGGTTTCTTCCCCATTTTGTGCCAACAGTTACAGGTGGACTCAAATGAGGAGCCAACAGGGACAAGTTTAAGATTTAACTGTAGGGACTGCTAAGCACCTGGAGGAGGACACAGGTGAGCCACTCACCACGGGAAAGTTCAGTGAGGGAGAGGAGATGGTTTTTAGTGCAGGTGAGGATATTCCAGATGATCCAGAGAAGTTCCACACCGACGAGAAGAAGCTGTTCCAAGGGGACTGCGTTTGTTTACTGAGGCTGTGAGCAGCAAATTTGGGGAAAGGAGGTGAGTTTTTACAGATGAGGCGTTGGTGATGCCCTCTTTCAGTCAGCAGGGAGGCGCTGGGAACACGGAGCCATATAGGAGCCTGTTTACCACACTTCACATATGTTCACATATGACAGAGACTGTGTGCAGGAGCTGGTCCTTTTATGCTGAGGCTGATGGAGCACAGCCTGTGTGGGAAAGTCAGAATTCCTGCTCTGCCGCCCAAGACTCAGAGAGTCAACATCAAAACAGATCACTGCCGACTGCCACAGTTTGAAATTCAGCAGGTTTTCTTGCTCATGTCTACATGGATAAATACACTGGCTTGTTTAGCACGTTGCACACTGTGCTGTTCTCATCTTGGCCAGGACATCCTTGGAAAAGAATTTTTCTAATGTCAATTAATTTTTTCCCTGCTTAAATAAAGATTTTTTTTAATGCTGTGATTAGTTCAATAATAATTGCATCAATGAAAGCTGAATGTGCCTACCTAAGAGCCCTCTGTAGCCTGGCTGGGTGCTGAGCAGTGACTCATTAATCAGTTGCTCTTATAGAGAGGTTCTCTGCACGTGCATGTTACTGCTTCTCACTGCAGGTGTCTGCAGGTGCCTGTAGGTGCCTGTAGGTGTCTGCAGGAGTCTGCAGGAGTCTGTAGGTGTCTGCAGGTGTCTGTAGGTGTCTGCAGGTGCCTGCAGGTGCCTGTAGGTGTCTGCAGGTGTCTGCAGGTGTCTGTAGGTGTCTGCAGGTGCCTGTAGGTGTCTGCAGGTGTCTGCAGGTGTCTGCAGGTGTCTAACAGGCTGCTCCTCCACCCCATACTACTGATAGTACATCTGTCTGGTAGGATACAGTTCTAAGTGTACGGGGTTGTACTTCGTCTGGTTTTTCTCTAGTTGCCAGGTCGATCACCTGGACCCTACTGCAGGAAACGGGCTTAGCTAATAACTGCGAGTTTGTGCCTGGAGGCTACTCTTGTTGTGATTTAGCACCACAGCAATAAAACTGAATTAAATTGATTTGAGTTTGTTGACCCTGAGATGAGGTGAACTCGGGCTTTCTGGTTGGCTTGTACTCTGAGTCAGTTACAGACTCTGCAGCCATTCTTCAGTAAACTCCACCTCCGGCTTCATCCGATTCAACTGTCTGAAAATCTGCAAAGCAAACTCATTTGGAGAAATTGGGCGGATCTATCAAAAATATTGACTCCCTACCAGCAAGCACTTGGTGACAGTGGGAAGGAAAACTCACCTTTAACAGAGACGGGACAAAAGACACACTGTGGGAGAGGGTTTAATAATAACTAATGATTAAATGCAAAGTGGTGTAAACACATGAACAGGATTCAGACAGAAACTCTGCGTAAGAGCCGAGTGGGTGACAGGTGACAAATAAAACACTAAGCAGACCACCAAACAGTGCGAGAAAGAAAAAGCATCTCTGCTGCTGAAAATCGTGAAATAGTCGAATGACTTGGACAAGGAATGAAAACCTTCACGAAAACTGTTAAGAGATTTGTGGCTGAGTCACAGCAATGAGGGAGGTTTCTGCCAGACAAATACATTAAGAGAGCAGCAGCTGAAAGGCC